AGCCAACCAACATCAGTGACAAAACTTCTAACATAAAGAAGTACATATTTTTTCTGAATTTAGTGACACTGTTTTCTGTGTCACTAATAGTTTAATTTATGCTATCTTCTGAAATTTTTTTTATTACAAATGTGATTTATAGTGTAGAGATGAATAGGTAGGCAAATTGTATCATTCATTTTGTGAATAACTATGTACAGATTTATAATAATAAGCTTCCCACATTTCATAAATGGAAATAAAATTTTTTCTGAATGTAATTATGTCAACAGAAAACAAGTTATAATTATTAAAAATGCTTAGAGTTCCAGAGAAATATAATCATATGTATAAATAAGAAAAATATATCAGTTGTTTTCTTGAGTTCTAAAATATAACCTAACATTTTAATCACCTTCCAGTTTGTAGAGTAAAATGGTATGAAAATAAACTACTTTAAAATATATGAACTACAATTTAATGTTTTAAAGTAATGGCTTAGTTAATTTTATATTCTTTCTCAGGGCTCCCATAATAACCTGTTCATTTTCCTTTCCATTGTATTCACCTCATGTTATAATCGTTTGTAGTGGTTAAGATCCTAAAGCCCAAGTTCAATCCCAGCTCCACCACTAACTGGCTGTGTAGCCTTGAACAAATTTATTAAACTCTCCATGTTTTTAAAAAATTAATTTTAGGGGAGGAGGGAGAGAGCGAGAGAAAGAAAGATCAATTTGTTCTACTTATTTATGCATTCATTGATTGATTACTGTATGTGCTCTGACCAGGGATTGAACCCTCAACCTTGGTATATCAGGATGACACTCTAGCCAACTGAGCTACCCAGCCATGGCTAACCTCTCTATGTTTTATTTAAGAGTTTTCTTCTATAAAAATATTTCATTATAGTACTTTCCTTATTCATAATATTGTGTGAATTAAATGAAATAATGCATATGTCATACACTTATCACAGTGCTTGGGCATAAGAATTTATGTTGGATGATGGCTGACTACTGGATTGTGAGCTCCCTAAAGGCAAAGGCAGGGGCTGGCTATGTCTTAGAAAGCTGAGTATCCTCAGCACAGAGCATAGTACTTAGTATATTGTATAGACCACGTATGTTGAATTTATACCTGTAGAGACAAAAATTGTTCCCTTCTTTCCAACAGTTTTAACACAGGCCAAGCGATATGCTTTTTTCATGCCAACTCTGCCAAGTTTGGTCTCTTTTTGTCGAGCATTTCCTCCACTGTATGAGGATATTATGTCTTTGCTGATCCAAATAGGGCAAGTCTGTGCCTCTGATGTTGCCACTCAGACTAGAGACATTGATCCAATTATTACACGTAAGTAGTAACTTATTTTCAGACTTTTTTTAATATCTCAAACAAACAAAAAACCACAAAATCCTTTCTAGATTTCTTGCCTTAATTATTTTTTCCCCTTATGTTTTTAGGTCTTCAACAAATAAAGGAGAAACCAAGTGGATGGTCTGGAATCTGTAAAGATCCATCTTATAAAAATGGATCCAGGGACACTGGAAGCATGGATCCTGATGTACAGCTCTGTCATTGTATTGAAAGCACAATAATTGAAATAATAAACATGAGTGTTAGTGGAATTTAAAAAAAAGCTTTAAAAAAAAGGTGTTTGCTGCATATACCCAATATGAATCTGTATCTTATAACAACTCTAAACTGAATGGGAACAGTAACCTCTTGGAATCACTAAAATGATTCCATTCAACATGAGACAATTTAGAACTCTGGAGAATTATGCTTGCTTGTATTTGATTGGCAGTTCTTTGGATCTACTTTGCTGGTATGTTTATGTTGTAGCAGCTGAGCTTTTTTTCTTTTGGGGTCACATTTAAGAAACTCACTACTGGAAAGTGAATTTGTCCTTGTATTTAGCTTTTGAAGTGAAGAAAAACTGCCAAGCCTTTAATTTCTTATAAAAATGAGTATGTGGGTAGCCTTATTGTTTAACTGTGAGCTAGTAACAGAGTGTGACGATGCAATGATGAGAGGGAGAAAAAGGGAGATTTCAGGAAAAATTAGGAATTTAAATACCCAAATGGAAATCTCTAAAACTTGCAATGCAAGTAATAGTAATACAAGAGAGAATTCCAGTTCTCAAGAAACAGTATTGAGAAGGCTTTAAAAAAGACAAATAGCTTTTTGTAAATGATTTCCATGGAATTATAGATGAGGATTTTAAGATTTTTACATATTTGCTTCAATTTTTACTAATATGTAAAGCCATATGTTTAAGGAGATACTTGAATAATTTGGGATTTTAAGATACTGGTTTAAAAGTGTGTACAGAAACATCTTTGTGCAGAGAAGAACCTGAAAGGAGGGTCTCATTTAGTTTTTTTAAAATTTATTTTTATAATGCTTTAGTAACTTATCTAATGGTCAGAAATACATTGGTATCTATTTAAATTTTAGAGTAGTAAAACCCACTGCATTAAAGAGCTCTTGGTTTGTCATCAGGATTATAATTCACATCATAATTTTAGAAGATCTTTGAGTAAGAGAATATATACAGTGTTTGGACCTCAGGAAAAAATAAGGAAAAAAAACAACCATCCACCCTGAAAATACCATGCTGTTGAAGGATTTTGCAGTCCTCTGTTAGTAACTTCCGTTGATTATTAGATAGATGCATTCAGGTAATCCATAATCCTCATTTTATTTTCTTAAGTATACAATATAGAAGGTACTTTGCTTTCTGAGATATACCTGAATGACAGACACCCACCCCTCTGTTGCCCCCGCTTGCAACAGAACTCTTCACTTGTGAAAGAAATCAGGCAGGCTATTTAGAAAGTGTGGTTTTTAAGAAATTAAACTTCAGCCTTTTTACTAGCAAATAGTCACATCTCATTTTCCTCCTTTTAAAATGGGATTGCTACTGGCCCTACCTCATAAGGGTATTAGGTGAGAACTAATTTGTATCTGTTTCAAATCATGAAGTGCACAGTATTATAGATAGTAGATGCTTAATGCTCAATTAAGTAATTTTTGTGAAAAAGAATAGCATTTAAAAAAATATCATAAGAATTTTCATATTTTTAAACAAGGCAGTTTTGTAGTCTTTTAAGATTAAATACACCCGCTCCAGTTTTGTTTTTAAACTGAGGCTTGGGAATATTTTGTGTGGGTAGGTAGGAATTCAGAAAAGATTGAAATAAGTTTTCTAACCTAAAGGTAGTGCACATTCCTGGGTAAATTTTCAAAGACTGGTCAAAACCTGCTGTGTTAAAATAATAACATATACTGTTTTTCATCAGATTTGTTGATGATGTAAATAAAATGTGTAAATATATTAGTAAATGCTAATATTCATGTATTTTAAGTTAAGGTTATAAAATTTGTCACAATGTGATTTTTTTTATTCAAGTGAAAACAGATGTGTGCAGCTATTTTGAATATTGGTTTATAAACATTCATATTCTTTATCAAATGAACTTGTATTTTTTTGTTTCATTTCACTACTGTTAACCTGAAAGGAACAGTTCAGGGAACTGGAATCCAGGGCTGTCTGACTCCACACCTAGGTGGATCCGTTTCTGTGTTGTGCCACATGCATCAAATGGCAACACAAGGTTAGAGCCTGTTGAGAGCCTTAGAAATTTAGGAGAGAAAAATCAGAGTAGTTACCCTGGAACAGTTACTTAAAAGACTGGATATTTAAAAATGTTGTATAAGCACAATAACAATTTGAAGGTATTTTTAGGGATTTCTTTTTATAAATTATCCTTTATTCCATTGTCTTGACAGTAAATTACCTTCATCTTTGCTTATATTTTCACATAATTTTAATACCCAGTGTGCAGTCTGCTTTTTTTCGTTTAGTTTGAGATGGAATTTGTTTGCAGGCTGTTTAGTTTTTATAATTCTTTTATTGGTTTCATAATGATTGAATTGATATTTCATAACCATCTTCTATTACTAGGCTGAGAAGTTTATGATTTGCTTTTTCAATATTACAGTAGACACTTATCAACTGAGGTATTGTTAACTTTTCTTACTTCTTTAGGATACGTTTCTCAGCCTGAAATTACTAGATTAAAGAGTAGAATTTATTTTTATGACAGTAAGTTTTGTCATTTGGGGAAGATGTAGTAAAACTAAAGGTGATATTCTCCTGCTGCTCCCTCCTGCAGCAAACCTCGCCCCAAAATAGTTTCTTGAATTTGAGAAACTGTACCTGGTTTTCTCTTTTTAGTACACTTCTATTTGAGCCAAGTTTAGGATTTACAGAATAAATATTTGGCGAGATCATGATTAACCGCCTACCTTTGAGTAAACTGAAGTGTACTTCTTGGCAAAGAAGAATGAACTGATTTTTAGGAGGGATAAGCCTTAATGGAGGTAGAAGTAAGTGATCTGGTGCTGGAGAGACCTCGAGAGCGTTTCTCTGGTTGAACTTGATAGCAGGGAAATCCTTGATTAATGAGATATCGTAGCCCGTTGTCACGAACCTTTTCACTTCGTTTGGTTCGCCAGTCCAGCAATTCCCGCCTCATTCTCGATACCCTGGGAACTCCAATAAAAGTTCGGAAATTTGAATCCAGCGGCATTGAAAAACGCTGAGAGAGGAACCGGGCAAGGCTTAAAGGTGTTTCCTCTCCGTTTATCTACAGACCTTAAGAATAAGACTTCGCATTTCCAAAGACACACACACGTGTTAAATCACGGGTTTCAAAAAGTCCAACGGAGAATTCTCTGCCTAAATCTCTGGAAATTGCGCGGAGTCATTCATTTTCCCCTTGTTCGTCTTCCGGTGCTGCCAATTACCTTGGGGGCCGGGGTCTCGTCTTATTGCGAGGCTCCCATTGGGTGCAGAATTCCTTTGCTCTGGTCCTGCGCCGGGATTGGTTGCCCGATTTCTGGCGTTGGCGTGTAATTGGTTGCCTGAGCTCGCCCTGCGATTGGGTGCTGGGAGCCGAGGGGGTGGGAGGCGGGAATTCGTCAGGGAGAGTTGGTGAGGGGACTGAAGAGAACCCGAGGAGAGAGAAAATAAAGCGGCCTCAGCCCACGACCAGGCCAGGGGCGTAGCAGCCCAGCCAAGAAGAGAGAGGCTGGTGACCTTTTTTTCGGTGGCAGGGCTCGGCTTGATTTGCTCTCCGATATCGGTTTCCTTTTCTCCCGTGAATCGGCGCCCAGTCAGCGTTGCTTCGGTTTTCCTCAGACCAGGCAAGTCTGTCCCCGGTGGGGGGGCGCGAAGCCTGACCGAGGGTGCTTTCTGCTGTCGCCCAGCCTCCGGCCGGCTCAGGGGTGTTGACGGGACCACCTTCGGGCATCTCGGCTGGCTCGGGGCGGGGGAAGTGGGCGGAAGAAAACCTGGGGGGGAAGGCGCCTGTCCTCACCTTCTTAGCGCGAAGGCCTGGGCCCCGCGTGAACTCTCGGCGGCAGGGGGCGACAGCGGCAGGCCGATTTTTTTCCTTCTTCTTTGATTCAGTATTTGGGGGAAGCTACCCCATTTTGAGAGGCTTGTTGCCACAGTTGGGGTGGGGGGTGGGTTGATTTCTAGGTAATACCTGAGTAACCTGGCCAGCGTTGAGCTGTTCAGAATCGGGTTAGATCCCACCAGATCTCATTCTCAGAGCTGCAGAGATAGAATCACGAGCTATTCGAACTGGAAAATAGGTTAGAATGGTGGTTCTTAACTTCTCTTGGAACACATTAGCTATGGTTAAGGTTATTATTGACTTCATCATCTCTGGAATTGCTGTTTCAACCATCCCTCCATCCCCAGATGGAATTTACCTCCCCACACCCCCACTATTGCAAATAATCCCTCAGTTGAGAACAGTGTATATCATTCCCCTCCATGTTTTCAAGTATTTCCTTAGGATACGTTTCTGGGAATGAGAAATCCATGGGCTTTCTCTTCAGGAAAATGCAATTGTGCACAGAAACTTTCTCGTGCACCGTCTAGAGATCCCAGCCTGGGCGTGACGTCTCTGGATCCTAGGTTAGGAAAGGGTGGTTTAGAGGATGCGGAGAGGAGCCGATCCCTTCCTGTGTCAGATACTGGCGTTTAGGCTCATTCTGTAGTTACCTTATTCTTAACTCCGTTCTTGGTTAATTTGCATAAAACCCCTCTCAGGTAGGTAGTATTTTCCCCACTTCACAGATGAGGAAGCGGGCTCTGAGAGGTGAAGGGATTCACACGGTGGAATTCACACTGAGACTTGCCTTCCTCCAAAGCCCACTTCTTTGCATTGTACCATCCTGACCTTTAAGTAAGAATTATTGAGCACCTACTATATGCCAGAGAGTTTTGCCCCTTACAACAATTTTATTTATTTATTTTTTCTTACAACAATTTAAAATGAAGGATTGTTACAGATAAGGATCTTAGTCTAGAGAAGCGGAGAGACATGATCAAGGCAACATATTTGAGTTGTCACAACCTGATCCAGAACCCCTTTCCTAACTCCTGGTCCACAACTTTGGCAGAACAGGGATACACATCCAGATTTGTCAGATTCCAAGGCATGCTCTCAACTGCTGTGATTTATAAGACTAGGAAATTCTTTTACTTCCATTTGTTTTGTTTATATATTTATTCCAATTTTTATTTCCAGATTTCTACCCTAGTGTTGGGTATCTGGTGTTCTTTGAATGGCATTATTTCAATATTGATTTTCATTTGTGTTGCAGTTAGGAATCTGAAGTAAACAAGGAAGTATGATGTCTTCAGCATGGTCTGAATATACAATTGGTGGGGTGAAGATTAACTTTCCTTGTAAAGCTTATCCATCACAGCTTGCTATGATGAATTCTGTAAGTATTTTCAACAGTTATTGCAAGTCTTTACTAAGATACATATGCCTGTAATTCACAACATACATTGGGTCTGTGACTACATTTATTTTCTCAGATAATAAATGGATTGAAAATATTTTCTGGGTTCATTGAAGAACACCTAACCTTTGGAAAAATAGTACTGATCACTGCTAAAGTGTATATTTTCATGGTTAGTTAGGAAGCAAAGGAAAACACTCTGAACAATGTTCTCAGCTTATTTGGAACTTCTACTCTACAGAATTACTACTTCCTACAAAGTATACTGTCTTCCACATAGAATACTCTATTTCCCACCATAATTTTTTTGAGATATTTCAGTCATAGAAAATTAATACACAAACCTGAGTAAACCAACTTTCCAGCTTTGTTATATCTTAATATTTTGCCATATTTACTTTATACCTTGTTTACAAGTAATAGGATTACTAGTATCCTGAATTTGTTCTTTTTCTTTCCTAATGGTATTTTAATACGTTTATTACATACATATGTATCCATAAACAATACAGAGTATTACTTTATATATTTTTGACCTTTGCACAGTGATATGATAGTACACCTATCTTTCTGTAGAACTTGATTCTTTTTTGCTTAACATTATTATTATTATTGTTATTTGTTGATTTTAGAGAGAGGGAGCGAGGGAGAGAAAGATAGATTTGGTTGCCTCCTGCACTTGCCCTGGCCAGGGATCGAACCTGTAACCTGGGTATGTGACCTGACCGGGAATCAAACCTGCCACCTTTTGGTGTATAGGAAGATGCTCCAGCCAGCTGAGCCACACTGGCCAGGGCTGCTTAACGTTATTTTTAAGATGTTGCCCTGTTGATTATTAATCCATTTTAATTGCTGTATTGTATTCTAGTATACGAATATCAGAAATTTTTTTGTCCATTTTCTTTCTGATAGACTTTTGGGTTGTTTACATTCTTTTGCAATTATAAACACTGCTGCTGTGAACTTTTTATACATGTTTCCTTCTGATGGAGACCCTAATAAAGTAAATCATTTATTGATTTTTTTTTAATTGTTTTTGTGTCCATAGATTGTCAGAGGATTAAACAGTAAGCAACATTGTTTGTTGGAAAGCCCTACAGGAAGTGGGAAAAGCTTAGCCTTACTTTGTTCTGCTTTAGCATGGCAACAGTCTCTTAGTGGTAAGTAGCTGATTGCTATCTTCAGGTTGCTTATTGGGACCTGAAAAAGTATAATAAAATACTTTTCATTCAGAATGATTCATTTATATTCTAGCTAATTGAAATACTCTCTTTTAAGATGTTTCTTTATAATATTATATATCTCCCAAAAGAATTTCAATATGACAAAATATGTTCAGTTAATCCTAAAACAATTTTGAACTTAATGTAGTTTTTTATTTGATGATTCAGAGTATGTAGGAGAATCTTGGCATGCTTAGAGTTATTATTACCAAAATAACTATGATAATTTTTATATAAAAGATGAAAGAGATAACATATTGGAATAATTGTGTGTTTTTAAAAAAATTTTTTTTTTTTAGTAAATCTTTTAATATATTTGCTTATCTGTCCCTTTCTCATAACATTAAAACATGGAATATATAAAAAAAGAAAACATTCTAGTTGATCTTCCTTCTTGTTTGGATGCCATATAAGCATTTGTTGTAATATTGTTTTTATGAATCCATATTATTTTCCATTACTTTTACTTTACCTGCTAAAAAATGCCTAGAAATATTTACTTTTATGCAAGACTATCTAATATACATAATGAATCTGAAATACAATATTAGATACACTTTAATTACATAATTAGATTGCTTTGACCTAAAGTGTTGGCAGAATTTAAAGTTAACCATGGGTGTGTATGTGTATGTATGTAGATGTGTATATGTGTGTGTGCGTATATGTTTGTATGTATATATAAATGTATGAATATATAATGTTTTTTAAAAGGAAATGTTTGTGCTACTGATAAGACTGTATTAAATATTAAAAATAAAAAGTAAATATTTTATAAGCTTGTGGTTGTCTATTTTGATTCTTATTGATGTTAATATTTGGGGAAAATGAGATTATCTGTTAATAACTTAAAATTTTAATGAGAGATTCTGCATAATAGAATTTGTAGTATATCTGTAATATAGATGGGAAAATAATGTCAGTACTCTTTAGAGAGAATAAATTATTTAGCTTTTAAAAATATCTATGAATTGTATATTTAAACACATAAGCACACAATGTAGATGTTACAATTATGTATTTTAGTAAAGTATTAAAAATTACCTGTTTTACTTAATTTGAATATTGACTTTAAAGTATATTTTGATACGTGTATCAGAATTGATACATCATGAAACATGTTTCTGTTTGAAATAAAAGTATAATGTGGGAATGACTTTAACCCTATGTGTTTACATTATTATTTGACATATTGAACTTTCAAATTCTTGATTTAGGGAAATAGCAGTAATTAAGAATATAAGTTAGTTTTTTATTTTAATCTTCCCTGCTTGATATTTTAATAAATCTCAATTTAAATTAATACTTGAGTCATTGTGCCTTTATTACATTATAAATTTTTTACTATTATTAGATTTTAATAAATTACATAAATATTGTAACTTCTCTACATATTTCTGGCATAAGTGTTTCCCTCCTGTCCCAGTTTGATGCTGCAGATAGGGTGACTAGCTTGTTCAAATTTGCCAGGTACTTTTTCAGTTTTAGCACAGAAAATCTTGCATCCTGGGATACCTCCTAAGCCTGGGCAAATGGGGTGGTTGCTCACCCTAGCTGCAGAGAAAGATAGATATTTTTAAAAATTAGAAATATTATAAATAGAGTTTTTTTTTTTATTTTTTAGGAAAACCAGTGGATGAAAGCTTAAGTAAAAAAGCTGAAGTATCATTATGTTGTTGTACATGCCATTCAAAGAATTTTACAAATGATGACATGAACCAAGGAACTTCACGTCATTTCAGTAGTCCAAGTACACCACCACCTTCTGAAAGAAATGGCACTTCACTTTGTCAAGGTAGTTTATATTTTGCCTGGGTCTGTTGGTATCTGTAATAGAAGCCTTATTTATTGCTGTTATGAGACCTTATTTAGATAAATTTGGTTAGCATAATTGATTATGCACTTCCACATATTTTCTCTGGAATTATTTTTAGATAATTCATAGAGTGGTCAGAAATCTTTGGACTATTTTATTCTTGGTTTGACTCTTAATTTTCTCAGACATTTTACTAGCTTAAATTATTTTTTGAAGAAGGCAAGGCAGAATAAATGATATTCAGGAATTGTTGTTATTTGTAGGCAGTATTGTTAATTACATGTCAGAATTTTATAAAACATTAATTTGTATTGTAAGACAAAATCTAATTAGCCTCATTTATTCTTGATAAGTTTGCCTGAACTTCTGAGGTTAGCATTCTACTGAAAAATACAATAATACTCTAATGGGGTTTCCTTTATAGGTTGCTGTCTTCTTTTTCCTGTCTGCCTTGATTATACTTTTGTTGTTGTTAGTTTTTGACAATTTTAATATAATGTGTCTCAGAGAAAGCCTTTTTGGATTGAGGTAATTAGGTGTTCTGTTAGCTTCTTGGATTTGAGGACCCAGTTCTTTCCATAGGTTTGGGAAGTTCTCATCGATTATTTGTTTGAATAGGCTCTCTGAGGAGGTGGGCATCCCCTTTCTGAGGTGGTCATCTCTGTCCTGGGGAACCACTCCCATGGATTGGATGTGGTGGACTATGGGTCTCTTGGACTGTGTGTTCCCTGCATTGCCTTCCAGTAGCCAGAAGCCACTGGTAGAGCTGCTCTATCTTAGTTGACCCAGCATTTTCCAAAGTGGTTGAACCAAATTTGTGCACCCCACCCTGTCCTATATGCAGTAGTGTATGGAAGTTACATTGTTCAGCATTCTTATTAGCACTTGATATCTCCAGTCTTTAAAAAGTTTACCCATTCTGGTGCATGTGTCATGTTCTCATGAGTTTTAATTGGTATTCCTCCGGTGACTAATGAGGTTGAGCATCTTTTTTGTGTTTATTGGTTATTTAAATATTCCTTTTAGTGAACTGCCTATTCAAGTTTTTTGCCCATTTTTCTGTTGGATTGTTTCTTACTGATTTCTAGGTGTTTTAAAAATATATATATTCTGGATATATCTCATTTCTTTATAACTTTATATTTTAAAGACTTAACCTTTTTAGTAAGCCTCCTGCAAACTTCCCTGCTACAAAGAACATGAAGATAAACCTTTTTGTATATGCAGATAATATGATTTATATTTTAATGTATTGGGGGTTAATCTTATTTGGCATATGGCTGTTCAGTTTTTCTAAAACTAAATTATTGTTTATGGTGGATGTTCCTTACCCTTTAATGGGTCCATACACACTTCCCTTTGGTTTATTTGGGGCAGGTTTCTCAACAGTGGCACTATTAACATTTTGAATGGGATGATTCTTTGTCATGGAACTGTCCTGTGCATTGTGAGATGTTTAGCAGCATCTCCCAGGCCTCAACCCACTAGATGCCAGTAGTATTCCCCCTTCCCCTGCCTTTTGTGACAACCAAAAATGTCTCCAGAGATTGCTCAGTGTCCCTGGTATAGGGGTAGGGGGTGTTAAAATTGTCCCAATTGAGAACCACTGTGCTAGATTTGTTTTGTGGGTATTTTACTAGTTTGCCAGGGAATTGTGGAGCTCAAAATTACATGTGTTTCTAAAATATATATGAAAACGCAGAGGACTAAGAATAATAGGCAAGAACACTTTTGAGAAGCTGGTCAAGGTGAGATGACTTAATCTATGAGGTATCCTGATTTATTACATATAAAGCTATAATAATTAAAACAGTTTGGTACTGGCACAGTGGTAGACCAGTGGAAAACAATAGAGAACCCAAATTTGGTTTCACATGTAGCCAGAAACTTGATTTTTTTATAGAAGTGCTCCTACAAAGCAGAGGGCAAAGGAGGGACTTTTACACAAGTGGTACTGGGATTCAGATATCGTATGGAAAAAATTGAAATTGGAGCCCTACCTTACGCTGTATACCACATCCATTCCAGGTAGATTAAAGACCTGGGTATGAAAGGGAAAGCTAAGATTCTAGAATATAGTGGTTTTCAACCTATGTTCCCACAAGTCTTAGGAAAAAACATGGCCCTTGGAGGGGAAGGAATAGTGGTGGATCAGAGAAGTTCTAGGTCTTTCATCCTGTTTTGGAAATTATGAGCAATTTTTCTTTAAAAATGTAGTCCTCAGAAAAGGCTTGAAAACTAATGCTGTGTGGCATAGATTCACTTCTGTGTTTATACAGAAAA